AAAGAGCCATTATCATCCTTTTACTTTAAAACAAGTCATAAATATCTTTGAACTTTGGAGAAAGAACCAGCCATCATCACTCTATTGACTAACGGTATTACTAACGTTATAACACCGTAAATATATCCGCTAAAATGTTTCGAATTGTAAATTTGTAATGGTAAAATGACATTATGTCCCTCACCTTTTAATTCTTATACACTATGATCCTTAAGCTTCATATTTATTTAATTTGGTCCCTAATTTTAACTTTTTTATTGCAATTTAGTCCTAAACATTTCAAAGAATTTCGATTAAGTCTCAAAATATCTAATTTCATGCATTCTATTCTTTTTTGCATAAATAATAAAAATCATGTAAAATCTAATAAATTCTCTTTTAACTCATCCAAAATATTAATAAAATTAAGGGCAAAAGAGTAAACTAAAATATATAAAGTTCATCTATATTAAGTGAAAAATTACTTCTCTAATGCCAATTTGAGATCTTTAAAAATAAAGATAAGATATTTGGCAAGTTGCATATATATATATATAGTTCAAATCAAAAGAAAAAAAGTAACAATATTATGATAAAAAAATGATAATTAAGAGATGCTCGTCTTTTTTTTTCCTGTAATATAGTCATAATCATAGAAACATCACTCAATTAAAGTTATTATTAGTTTATAATATTCACATGATCACATTTGCCCCACACTCATAAATTATATCTACATCAGTCACAACTTTATCGCTTTGGTTATAGTATTTTGCAAGATTTTAAATTGAGTATTAAAGACATTTTTGGAACAAATGGGTATAAAAATTTGACTTTACTCTTTAATGATTTAAGTTTTATATATAAAAAAATGTTGTGTATTTTAAACTATATTGAATTGTACAACATTAATTATTAGGTGGGGCTTGAGTTGCAATATCAATGGTTCTTATTTTACAATCTTGTGCAATTTAAACTATAATACAAGATTTCCTTCATATATTTTAGTTTATTAGTTCAAACTTGATTTTATTAATACTTGAACGAGTTGAATACTTGAATGTAATTTTATTAAAAATTATATAATTTTTATTATTTGTGCAAAAAAAAAATGATTGAAATCCAAAATTTGAGATTTAAGTACATCTCTTTCAAAATTTTAGGAACTAAATTGTAATAAAAGTTGAAATTAGGGACCAAATTTAATAAATTTGAAGTTTAAGGATCACAGTGCAAAAAACTAAAAGTTGAGGGATAAGCTAATCTTATTTTACCATTAAAAATTTGGAGAATTTTAACGGGCCTGTGGCCGGCGTTATGACGTGGATGATGCTTGCCCTTTCTCAAAATTTCAGGGATGTTTATGACTTGTTTTAAAATAGAAGGATGACAATGACTCTGACTCCTTTTACAAAATTGAGGGATTTTTAGTGTCATTAACCCAATTGGAAACTATAACTTCAATACAGCAAAAATATCCATTGCCTATTTTCAGAAAAAAAAAAAAAAAAAAGAGCAAAATTAACCAATTGGCTAGGGGGAATATTCCTAGTCAACTTTTGGTTAGACAGAGAGGATGTCCCTAGCTGTTATGGTATGTAATCCTAACCTTTATGGTATGTAATCAGGATTATTTTTTTGGGAAATCTTCAGGACACTTTGATAAAAATCTATTATTATTATTATTATTATTGAGGTTGCTTGTAGTGTTAATTTTCCTTTCTAAATGAATATAAAAGAAATTTATCTCTAAATATAAATAATTCATTTTAGTTCTCTTCAATAAAAAAAAACTATATTTATATATATATGAACTACTTAACAAACATTTCTTAAAGAAAAATGGATAAGTTGGTGAACTCTTTCTAGGATGAATTTATATGATGAACTTTTTTAATGGAGAACTACATAACTAATGAATTCTTTCTAATTAGAAGATCAAATAACAAACTCTTTTTAAAAACTAGCTACTTGCCTAAATTTTTACAACGAATAACTATTTAACGAATTTATTTAAAACAGAGAAAACTATTAACGATTTTTTTTTAACGAAAAAACGACTTACCATATGAATAAATAGTATTTAATTAAACCAAAATGTATCTCTCTTTTTGCCTCTTAATTTCTATCATGTAAAAATTTAACAAATTAAGGGAAATAATGAACTAACAAAATTCTCTCTCAAAAACACACACAACAAAAAAAAAAGCCTATGAACAATTTCACAAATTAAAATATTATTATTATTTTTATTTATTATTATATTGCCCCACCCCTCTAGCGCCTTATCACCTGTCCCCACCAACCCTCCTCTACCTACCCCTCGCCTCCTATAAATACTCCATTCTGCCTCCTCCATCCCTCACACTTCTGCGCTTCTAGCTACCTCCCACAAAGAACATTGCTTTAATGTTCAATTGCCCACTGGTTAGCCTCTCCCTCCCCCCATATGTTTCTACCACATCCTTTTTAATGTATTTCACTACATCTTTAGATTGTTTTTAAGATGTGTGCTTAAGCATTTTCCCCTTTGGCTGCAGAAAAATGACTTGCAAGTTTCATTCCAGTTTTTGATACCCATCTTCAAGCATGACTGCAAAAAGAAATGCAAGCGTATATCATCCACAGGATCATTGATATCCTTTCAGAAAGGCCTATTTGTATTCTCAGAAATGATGAGGTGAGTTCTCTTGTGAGTGAAAAGGAGATTAATGGTGTTTAAGTTTCAAGTTCAAGTATGGGGGTAACTAATTAGCATAAATTTTTTATTTCTTTTGTCTTTCAGCATTATTATGAGTCGTAGTGGAGAATTAGTTTCCGCACTGTTTCCCCTAATTCAACATCATGGAAGCAGCATTGAAACTGAACCTCCAGGACTGCGACCCTCGTATTATCATCTACTTCCAAGTAGGAGAGGACCATCGCCTATAATGCCACTTCCATTGCCCATGCTTTCACCTGTCGTTGGTGAATCAAAGTCTGGGACTTTGGGAAATGGGATACCAAGGTGTGGGACTGCAAGAAGTGGTGAAACCAAATGTGTGGTTTAAATCTAATATGAGCTACTCGCCTATTCCCAATTTATTTTAGGTTAGATGCTCATGTTGGTTTAAGCCCACATTTCTTTAACAGATCAATTTCCCCGCTTGCTACTCCTGCTGCCTAATCTAGTGGGCGAAGTTCATCCCAAAAAAAATGGGTGTCCCATTTTCATGTAGATGATAATAAAAGCCCTGTGAAGAGGACCAATAATGACATCTACATAAGGAGTTTGGAAGTATAACACAACACCATCATGTTAATGGGAATTGTACGTGAAGACAAATAGATGATAAGGAATCAGAGGATTTACCAACAAGTTGCAACTCTAAATTAATGCAACGTTCCTACTTTTGTATTGCTTGATTTAGTTCATTTTAGTTGTTACTTTTTAATTTTTTAAATGTTTTATGTAATACTTTTATATATCATAAATTGCAATTGAAAAAAGAAAATTCATCGAGTAAAACTACTCAACATGCTACTTACGAACAATTTTTTTAATTTTATTTCATGTTATCAATTGTTTAAAGTTATCATATGTCCCTTTTCTTTTTCTTTTCGCCAAACATGTCCTCATAATTATCAGCGGTACTCCCTCTATCTGTTCCATTTTAATTATCTCACTTTTAACTTCACATAAATCTAAACAATTTGAAAGTTGCGTAAATTTAATAAGTGACACAAGTAAATTAGAATTGAAGGAGTAATTTTTTCAAGGTTAAACCTCAATGTTGGTTCCTCAACTTTGTAATGACTTTTTATTTGATCTCTAAACCAAATAAATATCTATTATGATCTCTAAAGTTTTAAATTCTAATTCCTTTTTGTCCAAAACAAGGATTTATTTAGTTCATAGACCAGATCAGAGATTTGTGCAAAATTTTAG